TATTTATATAGCGCTATAGTCCATCCCATCTACATGCATGCTCAAAGCGCCCCTCGATCATTGGATGTCAATCTCAACGGCATATCGTATTTTCAATCTCAACTCCCTGGTGGTTCATACAACTCGTGCACCCACTAGGCGCACCCAGTTCATGTGGCTTTCTCATCCTTACGAGGTACCCTTTCTGGGACCAGTACTTTGTCCAAGTTTTACTGCACGTTGCTGTACCCGCAACTAGGTGTTTGCACGCATTCATGTGGCCACCACCTGGTCATTTACCAACGGATTCGTTGGTTCTTTAAAGTGCACAGGGTTGTGTACTGTACACTAGGGGTTGTGACAACACTGAAAGAGTCTGCACACAAAGGTGACGACAAGGTTTTTACACCCGGTCACAGGAGGGCTCGATCCCGGCACCTCCAAGCTCGCTGGATCACTAGCCTGGCGCCTTAGACAGCTCGCCCACCACGCCCACCACGCCCACCACGCCCCTATATTAATAAAGCATACAACTTCATGGATAACAACTTCTTGTTTATTGCAAGGAGTGACGTGTCGGTGTAGATGCTTCAGGACCTATTTTATTTTTGTTCTTACTACCCAGCTAGCCTCATCCAGTTGTGTGCCACTTACTATTCAATTACACGTTGTTGTTAATGTTAATCTTGGCCCGGTTGTTCAAAACTCGGTTATCTTAACCGCCGGTTAACTCCTAACGGTCGGTTAAATCCTAGCTAACCGAACGTTAAATATGCGCTGTTCAAAACATGGTTAGCCATGCCGTTAGCTGACGTCACCGTCAAAGTTAACAGTGGGGTTAACGTCCCTGGTTAGCGTCCATATATCCCACAATTCCGTGTTCTGTTTACTTCCGGTTTGTCAAAAATGGAAACGCAAAATGTCGCCTGCAACCCAAGGAAAAAGAGAAGTCGAACTTTCTCTGCTGACGAGGAGAATGTAATCCAGTCAATGGTTGAGGCCAACTGGTCTTTGCTATCGGATAAACATTCCACCGAAGTTACAAAGAAACGTAAAACACCTTATGGTCAGATATTGTAAAAGAGGTGAATGTTAAGGGGGTAGCTCCGAGGTCTTTGATTGAGGTGAGGGAGAAATGGACAAACATGAATCGGAAGGCAAAGAAACAGTACACTGAACACAGAATTCAGTCAAGGAAGACCGGCGGAGGACCACCACCGCCTGAGCTGAGTCAGGCAACCAGCCGCATCATCGACATGATGCGTGACTCGGCAAGTTTTGACGGCGTCCCAGACGGCCTCGAGACAGAGTGTAGGTTTCAATAAATCACAAAACTATAAATGATCAATTAGTTTACGTCGACAACAATGAAGTTATATGCCCTGTTAAATAATTTTAGTAAATGAGTAAATACGTAAAATAAAGTGGAGCTGGTACATCATAATTGCACCTACGTACCGATGTTCATAATCTATTTAACAAAGGCCATTGGCAATTACGAAAAGTGACATGTAGGCCTATATACAAATGGGACATAAAAATCATTTTCACACTCAGGTATCTCAGGTAGAAATGGTACAACAAACTACGTGGTAATGTTTATAATCTAGATCTATTTTTACTGTCGACCTTAAACTTGACACCATATATGGCATAATCTGGATCTAGGTTTCGGTTTTGAAACAAAACATTTTCATCAAAGTTACGTGACGTACGACCTAGGTCTGCAGAAATCACTCAAAACAAAAATAGATATATACATGTACATTGATGTTTGGTTTATTTTCCTACACATCAGTTGCCAGAGCCATGTTTATGCTAATACGGTTTTCGTCAATTTATACAGTATATAGGCATTTCAAAAGATGCTTTTGTGTTTAATTTGCCTCAATAACAATCGAAGAATGATAAGGAAATTAAGATCTATTGCTGTCATGATTAGTAAGAATATAATTAAAATCCATCCATGGGAAGGGGAGCTCGAAGAATTCAAACGTCAATATTGCCGATAAATCGTCCCGTTTAGATCTTCAATACTGCTCTATCATAGTATTCTGTAGACAGCTCACGAAAATACATACACGTGTTGAAATAAATATTACTGACCTTGATCATGGGACGGCTCTCACCGAAAAATACTGTAAAGTATCCATTTACATAGTTTTACTGTACCATGTTCCTATGGCGTTGAGTAACGACCCCATAGAGAGTACATTACAAGCGGGATAACTCTTATACAGATTACTCTTTCACATATGCCATACGGAGTGCTGTCCCTTGTACACAAGATTTAACGCTTTTCAGGTATGTCTTATGTACCCGTTCAAAGTTAAAATTTAATTGGAAACAAAGTATATTTCAAGAGAATTACTTCGTATTTACATATAGGAATATGTATATCATACCAAGTTATATGTTGAACTAACATAGATATCAAGGTATATTATATACTACCCATCAAAAGTTTAGACTCACTTAAAGCACTCACTATATGTTATGTATATGTATGTGGTTACATCGAAGATGAATTTCTCCACCAACTTAGGGGAACCAACTGAAAACCTTATGCAGATGAATTGCACAAGGATGATGCTTCAAATTGCGAAAGGCATGAGCAAATGTCGTGCATGTGAACAGATGCGTTTTGGTGTAAAGTTTTGTTAAGAATTCGCCAATTTTCACAGATTTTAATCATTTACTGAACTCATGACAATAATCTTTTCAATGTTACGAATATGTTTTACAATACACCAGTTCATAACTAAACAGTACCTTTAAACAGTATGGAATATTTTGCAAAAAGCTAGTTTAGAACAGTGGACAAGTAAGTGGCTACATTTACACTAGTGAGTCTAAACTTTTGATGGGTAGTATATATTAATGTTATAATATACACTTAAATCAAGATCACTTTATGTTTAGATATTGATGAAAAATGTATCGTATTTTATAAACATCATCAGGTGATGACGAGTGTTAAGCGACCCTCCCTACTGACACAGCTGCTGAGACGGCCACGTCCGAGTCTGCCATCGTGATGACGCCTAACCAGACTCCAGATGTAGCCTCCACCAGCCAGACCTCAGCTGTAACCTCCACCAGCCAGACCCCAGATGTAGCCTCCACCAGCCAGACCTCAGCTGTAGCCTCCACCAGCAAGACTCCAGCTACATCATCCACTTCTCAGACCACAACAATATGGAAAGCCAGTCCACGATACATCCTATCCTTTCTTTACTGAACTGGCATCATGAGAGCAGCGTTAGCCATGAACGCCATTTTGCGAGTTAACCACACTGTTAAAAAGTTAGCGGCGGTCCTTAGGTATTAACTTAATGTCACGTTAACATCCTGTTAAAAGTTAACAGAGTTTTGAACAACAAGATAACCCTCTGTTATTAGTTAACAGTCGGTTAAATGTACTTTACGGCTGGTTAAAAGATAACCGAGTTTTGAACAACCGGCCCTGATGTTTATCACAACATACTATGTATATATACTTCTCAGTACTTGGTTGTAGTCACCGGGCCCTGATGTTTATCACAACATACTATGTATATATACTTCTCAATACTTGGTTGTAGTCACCGGGCCCTGATGTTTATCACAACATACTATGCATATATACTTCTCAGTACTTGGTTGTAGTCACCGGGCCCTGATGTTTATCACAACATACTATGCATATATACTTCTCAGTACTTGGTTGTAGTCACCATTAGCTGGAAAAAACGGTATAAGAATCTACACCGAAACGTCGTTCTATGTTTTAAACAAGAAGTTGTTATCCAGCTTTATTTCGGCCTGTAGCCGTGACTAGTTATTCTCTGACATTGCCGTTTCATATTTCCGAAACTCGTTAACTCAACGCTCATAAACTCTTTGTGATTGTCCTTTGCATCTCATTACACGTGAACATATCCTCATTACTTCTCTATATGTTTCTGTATGTACTCTGCAATGTCTGTAAATGTGTCACCCTTATCCAATAGAGGACGCCAATCTACAGAGACGCGCGAATAAGTACCAGTAATTTGTCTGTCTCGGGTCCTGGAACCACTTTTGTCCCTTCCACCTAAGGGACCGTTCATAATTTACGGTCAGGGTGTGTGTGTGGGGGGGTGATGATGATTTTTATGGAGAAGCATGCACAATGTGAATGCCCCCCCCCCCCTCAATTTATAAAAAATAATATATGTACAAATTAAGCGACCCCCTGCATGTCATGTACAAAATCAATGACCCCCCTCTCCCTTCCAATACTTTTTAAGCATAATTTTAAAATATTTTTAGGTACAAATTTGCTGACAAACCCCCACCCCCTTAGAATAATGTTTAGAAAATTGATGACCCTCCCAACCTCCCCAGAACAAAATGGGTGACCCCCCCTTAAAATCATCATCACACCCCTAGCCACAAATTATGAACGGTCTCTAAATCTTAACGCAATGCAATACACCTAAGTGAAGTCGAGATGTTCCCTAGGTTCAGGTCATCGCATCTCGCTTGGGCTCCTTTTCAATTTAAATGAAGTAAAATCATATATAATTGTGTTTTTACAAAATCGTCTATGTTCAGCTAGTTAGTGTTGGTATATGCCAGTATTATACAACACTGTATATTAGTATCGGAGAGTACAAGAGCAGTCAGCGAGGAAGGGTATGTCATCTCTTGCTACCACTCGATACCCATTTATGTCATTGTATCTTTGCACATCAGACTAACGACACTACATGGCAGCGTTGCGAGGCAGATTGCGAATAAAATTATCATTAGACGACCCTTCTTACGATGTCACTGAATGTACCGTTGCGTAGCAAGAGTGTGTTTGTGCTGTTTACTCCATCGTTGTCACCGTACCTATTGAAGTATGTAACTTTCAATAACATAATTTCTTATACCTTAATAATGTCTTGAAGTGGTTATATATATTCTGGTAAATATACATATTATAAATTTGAAACTACTTTACTAATATAATACAGTACATATCAACAAAGACAAACAACAAAAACCCACGCTACATTCAAGTGTAACGTTTATTCACCAACAATGTCACTGCCTATTTTTCCAGTATATTTAATTTACTTACATCTCTTACATCATGTAATTCAGGTTACGAATAGGTAATTACATTTCGACGGGTTTCCGTGAATAAATAGGAAATAAAAAATGGGAATTGTATGGTATTGTAAAGGTAAGCATTGCGGCACACGTAAATATATGCAAATGTTCTATACTTTATAAGCAAAATGTCCCCTAGGTTAACACATTAATTGGATGAGCGATACGATTCCTTATTGAAAGAAATATAAATCCGCGTCATGGGTATTATACTATATATACTGAACAAAGATGGCGGAATACAAGAAGCATGTGCACAAGTGAGTGAGTGAGCGATCAGCTGGTTTTACTCTAGTTATATCATGGCCTCTTATATTACGAAGCGATGCAAGTCTCAGACGTTTTACACCGGAGCTGACAAACCCGGAAACATAATCGTAACTAACCGGGATTCGACTCACGACCACATGTGTCTTGAATACTAAAGGGAGTAATCTCAAACACTATTTTAAGTTTATGAAATTACAAGGTATCAATGACCAACATGCAGATGAGGACCTTCACCAGCAGTTGCACGTGATACTACTGAATCCGATTTGTATATAAACGAAATTTCGCTTCATCCGTCTTTGTTATATCCGAAGCTCCATAGATACGAAGTATATTTATATTTATGTGCATACCTCAAGGCTCGAAATGAAAAACGAAAGAAGTTCGGAAGTATTATAGAAACGACTGTTGCGGATATACCAGTGTTTAGTTTGTGAAACAACAGAACTCTCCTCAGGGGGTAAAGTGTCAGGAAACCAATATATTACACAATTTACAAATATGTATACAACTAACAGAGTTAGCCCTTCATAGCTAATCATATACTCCACTCATTCCACTCATCACGTAGGTAACATTGATATACATTTCAACAAACCATCGCTTTCCATCAAGGAAATTGTCATTTAAGGCAACAATCAATAATTGTTCATATTTAAATACGATCCTGTAGCACAATCAACAATCCTTTAAATTAGCACGAAATATTATCTACATCGTATGGCTTTCTTCGGTAACAGAACATATATCTGAAAATAGAAATAAGTAAGATTTGACTTGGGATTTGTTGCATGTTTGAGATGCTGTGGGTGGGTTGGATGTGGGTTGCTGCGTGTGGTTTGGTGGATGTGGTGGGGTGTATGGTGATGTGTGCAGATTGTGGGATGTGGGGTTTTGGAAGTAGTGTGTTGATTTTTGGGTGTTGGGAATAGGGTGTAGAGTATATAGTGTAGGGCGTCGGGTGTGGCTTGTGGGGTGTAGGGTTTAGGTTGGTGGTCTTCGGGCTGTGGGGTGTATGGTTACAAGTGTGGGATGTAGGGTGTGTGTTGAGGGGTGGTCGGTGGGTTGGAATATTCTAGTGGAAGGAGGAAAGCTGTGGGTAGTGTTAGCTGCATAACTGTGTTTTCTAGTTGCAGGTTTTCAGAAAAAGAAACAAAGCGTTTTAAACCAACAAGAAAACAATAAATATGAAAAATACATTCACTTGTTTAATAAGGTCGTATCAAAACGTTTCCCATAAGTACTGATTATCATATCATCACTGTCAAGTGCACAATTTACGTGTTATATCCTTTGTGAGAAACCGCTATAGATGGTTATGAAAAGATGTTTATATTAATTTCAGTGATGATACAAAATGTTTAAATCATAAAACGAATTGACTGACTGGACATGAGAAGGTTCAGTTTGGAAAATATCAGATGTCAAGCGATTGTCTAACATGTTTTAGGAAAACTGCTTGGGTCAAAAGAATAAAACAAATGGTCACATGAAATTCTATACAATCATTTGTACAACTGTTAAACTGACCAGTGTAATAGGTGTCATATACATCATCTGATAGCTTGACTCTCATAACGATTTCTGAAGGTTTTGATGATTTTCCAAATATCATTAATGAATGAAGGAAGGAAGCAAGAAAGGAAGGAATTCCGACATCTAAATTCTTACAGAGCTCAAACATTTACGGATTCTTCATAAGTCAACACCATAACAAACCATAAGGTTGAGAAAATATTCCTCAGTATATATAACTCATGCCAATAATGGTTGTCACCCCTTCAATTGTTTTAATTGGAGAGGGGTGTGGGGTGGGTGTGTGAGGTGGGTGTGGGGTTGGGGTGGAGGGGGTGACAACCATTATTTGCATGAGTATACTACCCAAACAAAACATTCACAACAGTATTATGAAATAATCGGGTTTCTTATGCTATTTTGAGTAGTATAAAATCCAAAAAATGTTGTCACGTTATATACAACACCCTTTCTAAAATAATTACTGAGTGAAATAAATATATGTCAAAGTACATACACCTAGGAATAATATATCTGACTAACAATCTTCGGTACACTCTTGATAGTCTCGGTATTGCGAAAACAACGTTATGATAAACAAAAACAAGAAGCGGACGTAAAATGGTAGTTTCTTCAGCACAATGTGACTGGTACTCTGATTTCATGTAACATGTGCATGTGTCCGTTGGCTCCTCTATTGTGTGAAATCAATTGTAACAGCAGTGAATCAAATGAAGCGGGCATAAAATGTTAGGACGTAACGCTTTTAGAGCGGTCACTAATCTGACAGTAACACCGGGTGACGGAAAATGAAGAACGGGACATCTGCGACAATGAGTGAGTGAGTTGGTTTTTAGCAATATTCCAGCAATATCACGGCGGGGGACACCAGAAATGGACTTCACACATTGTACCCATGTGGGGAATCGAACCCGGGTCTTCAGCGTGACGAGCGGACGCTTTAACCACTAGGCTACCCCACCGCCCCTCTGCGACAATGATACCACAACATATTATTAAACTCAGGGTTATATGACTTTTACCTTATTCTTTATCCTTGAATCTACGGTATATAGTCACGGTATAATCTACGGTACGAATATATACCGTAGATTCCAGGAAAAAGACATGATGAATGACACTTATATTTTGCGAAATATGGAAGTATGTAAAATACTAGTATATACTAATTAATTAACACTTGGACATATATAGACAGCTGTGTTGTGTATAGTAGGTCCTCTTGTCTGGAATGTTTGCAGATATACTTGTCCGCACTAGTTCACATTTACAAAACACCAGTATGTTTGTTATGTTTCCCTTCACAATGATAGAAATGTCTTTTTCACATCTTGCATTAATTTATTAACGGAAATACGTTTAATGAGCAAAACGTAAGGCAACAAATGTGCTTAACCGAATATACCTGCACGAAGAAAGCAAAGTATCAAAACAAAACATATGTAAGGTGTACATATTTGTACACAAAATATGGCACATTAAGGCTAAAAAGTATTTCCTCAACTTTCGTGTTAAAATTGACATATATGTACATGTATGCATTGAACTAAAGCCCTGGTCCTCATTGGCCAATCCCTTTACTACTAGCACCAATCAGAAGCAGCGTGACATCTCAGCGTCTGGTGAACTTGAACCTGACTGGCCGAGTCGGGGAGACAAAGGTGAAGTATTCAACTTCCATGTCCTCGTGATCGGGCTCCAACTCAATTTTGAATTTCTGAATCAACTGTAACAAAGACAAAAAGATGGAACAAAATCTTTAAAAAACTTGTTTGATACACTTTCAGGCTCATACGAAAGCTCATCTACAAATCGACACACTATGATCCGCCATTAAAGATGGTTCGATTTGAATGGCGACCTCAAACTAAACTGCTGGGCAAACGAAGTGTTCGACAATGTTTGATAGTGGCAAACAAAATAATGAAAAGGACAAAAATCCATGACAAAAATAAACACAAAACAAAATAAACTAAAGAAAAAAGCACAACAAGATCAAAACAAAACGACAAATATTCCTTGGTGATATATTTGAGTTGGGTATCACAGTTGTGTAATGTCGACAGTTTTCAGGACAGACGTTTTTGCTTATATTCAGTTTCAATAGTATGCTTTCCTTTAACCGTGGTATTATAAAGGTTTTCAGGGGTTGCAAAGCTTGTTAGACGAAGCCCACTGTCTAGAAGTTGTAGGCATGCACTATTCCCCTTCACAGCCGCAACAGAGATACAGCGAAACAAACATCCCATATATACAGAGCCTTTCAGGTTTCGTTCATGTAGTCACGCGCACTGGATAAGGTCACACACGTTTATTTTCTGCTTACTGACATTTCGCAAACCATTCGGGTAGTGCACTATTGGTTGTTTTATCTGGAGTCAGGTTTTGGGGTCGATAGGTACAACGAGGGTATGTGTGTGCCAGTGTGAATGTGTGTGTTTGTATGTGTGATTGTGAGTTTGAGTGAGGGAGCGTGAGTATGTGCGGATACGTGAATGCGTGCGTGCGTACGCGTATGTGCGCCTTGTGTGCAGAGCGTGGTGATGTATATTACCTCCCTTCGTGGAAGGTCTGCGGCAGGATAGGACCCGTGTCACCCGTGTCACGTAAGGGCGGACTAAAGGGAGGACGTCATCATCATAGTGATGAAGATGTGTGACATGTCTGAACGAGACATGTACGAGAAGACGAAGTGCAACTCTTAAACTTTTAAACACACTTTTAAACAGTTGTTTATGTGTGAAGTTATTACTTTGCCAATCAATGGTTTGCTTAGGAACAAGTTTTGATGATATATATATCCATCCCCAAAATATAAGATTAAAATATACAGGTATGCGACCACACAGGACTTGAATTTCTTTATACGGGTCACAGCCATGCAGACATGTGCACGATATGGACGAGTGCTTGAAACACTTGCTTTGCTGGACAGTGACAGAAGCGTCACGCATCATTATCAGAGATAAAACTGAGCTTTTAACAGGGTCTGTTCAGCGTTGTAAATGTCTTTAATGTGATCAGCAGGGAATGGAATCAATGCACATTGTTTTGACCCGCTACCTAATAGCATGCAGGTGAACGGCAGCTTTTAACCACAAAGCGGAAAGACGGAAAGATTCCAGCAAGTTGCAAGCACTTCACTTTCAGAAATGACCTGTGACGTTGACATCTCTACTAGGGCCATGCATCCCAGTCTGGTATCCATCAAAGAAGGGCATGTATTCTCCCCACTGTCCAGACAGTACTTGCAGTCACGTTTGGATTGGGATCTGTCAGACAGACAGACCAGGACTAGGTTGTGACCAGCTCATCCCTTTCGAACATATATGGAACGACATGCAAATTGCCCCTCATGGTTCAATGTTCTTCCAGCAACTCTCCACGACCGTAGTGAGAGGTAGAACCTTGCCACCCGTCCGGACACATATCGGGAGGGTGAGGTGACGGTGCAGGCTATCACTATTAGGCAACACCAGGCTACTGACAGCTGGGTTTTTTTAGAAGAAAATGAACTTATTTTCATGACTTTTTGACGTTTCAGTTTTCGTCAGATACTCTCATTTTGACAAGTGATATGGCTGATTTTTGGTCACCTGTTGTTTTGGCATTGTTGAGAAATGACTTTTGTTAATTCTGTAATTACCGAAATAAAGTCCTTCTATATTTCAAACGATGGACCGATTTGGACATATTGCCTTTGAAGCCGTGATCCTTAACAAACTTTGAGTAGTATATATACTAGCAGGGGAAGGAATCTGAGGTGACAGACGAATTATTTTATTAGAAATAAATATGCTACGCACATATACCTAAGAGCAGATGCGATGAAGCGTAACATAAGGACTACCATGTTCAGCATTATCTCTTGATTTGCATCTAGAGTGAAATCTGTCAAATCCGGACTTTATCGGTATAAAATCCGGTAAATATATATTACACCTGGTATATCAAAATGTCAAGTTCGTGTATTCGTTTATGACCTTATGATCATATGATCCACTCCCATGCATAGTTATGTTGTGGTTGAGTTGTAACAAGGAAAAATGAGATTGCGAGACGATGACCTCTGGCAGTTACAGTACATGTGTACCCGTGCATCGGAAGGATCAATAGCCTGATTGACCTACATCGGGCAGTACGTCTCAATTTCAAGGACACATACACTGGCATTTGTGGTCACGCTATGTGTACTCCGAGAACAAAGTATGCATGGTATATATCTGGCTGGCTGGTGATGGTATTCCGACAACGTTGTATGCACATGAAATATGAGCTTACAATGCACTGGTTTGTGTCGGTATTATGCTGATAACGACGTACTCGTCAGACCTGAAGGGAGTGAGTGAATATTAATTAAGGCCGTATTAACTGTACTTCATTTATGTAGTTTGCATACCGAAATGACCAGCCGACTGGTAAACACGTAACCAGATTGTCGAATAATTAAAGGAGAGAGCTTTACCAGGCGAATTTCGTTGACTCAATACATGGAGTCTCTGAGCCCCCAAATCAGTAATAAAGACGTATAAACCGAGGCGCCTGTAAATAGAAATATCCTACAGCTTCCGTTCTCATTTTCACGTTTACTAAATTCGAAGCTTTTCAGAACTATTTTTTCTTTGTCCTTCATAAGACACATTCATTGCTTTCATCCAAAAGAAGTTAAACTGCTTTCAAGCTTCTGACTGTTGGGATAGGTTCTTCTGGTAAATCAAAGCACATATATCTAGAATGAAATCACGGAATAACATATGACTGATGCATATTAATTGCATCTGACATACTATTTCATCATAAAATGTGTCTTCAGCAACCCATTGGAACGGACGGGATCAGGTGGAAATGCTCGCTGTTTTGGTTGATACTTATCGACGTATCCCAGTTACAAAACATTGTGTAACATTCAAGGGTTCATGATGTGAACGATGACATTCTGCTGGATTCAACAGGTGATCAAACTTTGATCAAACGATGTAAAACATGTCTTGCCATAAACTGGTTCAGAAACCGTTCTTGTAAATGCATGTTGTCTTTGTACTGTAGTACTGGTTGTAGATTGGTAACGTCATGACACAACGTTGTCACAACGCTAGCTTTACGTAATTTTATAACGTCATTTAACAACGTAATAACAACGTTGCAAATTTAGGTTGAGGAAACGTTATGCTTTGGGCATCAAATAACTTAACCTTGTGGCGACGTAAAAATGACGTATCACATGTCGACGTCAGGCCACAACGTTGTGACCACGTAAATGAAAGTTCACAGAATAACGTTGTAACAACGTTTGGCAACGTGAAATTGTTAGCTGGGAAGCAACCTCTACTCATAACAGTTCCTAAACTTAGTCGTTCGTATGTTTCTATAAGACCAAACTTTATTGTAACCTTGACCTTCATGAATGACGTTTGCGAATAGATGGTATGTTATTCAATATGGCGTTTCTATTCAGGCTAAACCGGATTTGTTCTTATTAACCTGGCATACTTACGAACACGACACGAGTACCCCAGTGCCAGCGACCTTTTTAACTGCATTTAAAACTAAATAGATGTACTGATTTAAACTCGTCAAAAAGAGTGAATGACCGCTACGCCAGAAAACATACTAACCTTAACGTTCGATAAAAGGTTAGACATAGATACGTGTATTTTGATCAGCTGGGTGAACTCTAGGTTTCGAGCTAACAACCTTTTGTTGTGTAGAATTTGTAATCCTATTTCCAACACGCTAGACAGAAATGGATAATGTCATATGTGAAAATATACGCGGCCTTGTAGCGAGGAGAGAAACCTAACACTCTAACCCTACCTATTCTAATCAGTTTGGGTTTCTCAAATCAATAGTCGTTAGTAAATGATTTAAAGTTTACTGTGCCAAGTAATATTGCTGACTCGTGAAATTTGTTTTAAATGTTTACCATAGCCTAAAGGATAAAGGGTGATTGTCTTTTGTAAGTCGATATTTACTCACACAACTAGCACATACCTTACTGACCTTACAGCAGATGCAGAGCTAGGTACAGAGTTTAACCTTGTAAGATCACAAGAATCAAACCACAGGGTCTGTGATCATGCAATGAGCGCAATACAATGAACTATCAGGTCATATCTCATGGCCGACTGGCTCTCTGCCACAACCATTTACAGTGAAGGATATAGGGCATAACGTGCTTTGGGGTTACCCTTGCTGTTACACTGCTGAACGAGTGTACATCATATCTCCACCTGGACACTTGCCAATAACGAAATAAAAATGTATATATTCTAGTATGCTGTTCTGAAAGTAGTAACATGAAAATTTATTGAAAGTACAGTCGAGCAACGTTGTCATGGGATATTCATGGGACAAAGAAAAAGTATCGAGTTATCCGAACGAGACATCCGACCAGGGCATATCATCACATATCACTATGAAAGAAAACAAAACGCTTCTCAGTATGTTTTGATTCGAAACTATAATCCGTTATCAGTAGTGTTTAGTCGTAGCAGTATATATATCATGTCATTTCGGATAAACCTTCCTACTTACTTTTTGATAGTTTTCGTGAGGCACAAATGTGACCCAGGTCTATGTTCTACTACTGAACGACTAACGGGATCGGGGGGTCAGGCTCGCTGACTTGGTTCACACATGTCATCGGTTCCCAATTGCGCAGATCGATGCTCATGTTGTTGATCACTGGACTGTCTGGTCCAGACTCGATTATTTACAGACCGCCGC